GAAGCAATCCAAGATGGCGGCGGAGATCGCGAATGGTCGCCTTGCCATGATTGCGATCATCGGAGCGTTCTTCCAGGGCGGTTTGACGGGTCCCGCGCGGGGCGACTGGGCGCTCTACACTGGATCCCCGCTGCGCGCGTTCGAGAGTGAGCTGGGGGTGCAGGACCCGGTGGGTTTCTGGGACCCCGCTGGGTTCACAGCAGACAGTGGCATGGATAACTTCGCCCGGAGTCGGCAGGCCGAGTTGAAGCACGGGCGCGCGAGCATGTTGGCGACCATGGGGTACATTATTCCGAAGCTTGCTGGCGAGCTGCCTGGGTATATGTCGCCATCCGCGGGCCTCAAGTTCGCCGATATCCCGAACAGGCTCGGTGCTATCTTCAAGGTTCCCGCGGCAGGCTGGGCGCAGATCGTGGCTTGCGGCGCATTCTGCGCGCTGCCCCAGGGCCAGTCCGCTGGCGCCGCTGCCGCAGCAGTCGACTTCGGCTGGAAGGTGCTGACGTCCAGCGACGTCGCAGAGAAGCAGTCCAAATTGGCGGTGGGGATCGCGGACGGTCGGCTTACCATGATGGCGATCATCGGGGCGTTCTTCCAGGACGGGTTGAGGGGTTTCGCGTGGGGCGACGGGGCGCTCTACACTGGATCCCCGCTGCGCGCGTTCGAGATTGAGTCGGGGGCGCAGGACCAGGTGGGCTTCTGAGACCCTGCTGGGTCCACAGCAGATAGTGGCACGGATAACTTCGCCCCGAGTCGGCACACAGAGCTGAAGCACGGGCGCGTGTGGAGGAGGAGGAGGAGGACGAGGAGGAACGGGGGGGTTATGATGATTGGGAGGGGGGATCAGAAGGAGAAGAGACAGGGAGGAGGAGGGAGGAGGAGGAGGAGGGCACAGGGAGGAGAGAGGAGAATGAGGCAGGAAGAGGGCTTCGCTTGTCCCTCGCCGATCCTCGCTTCTCCCTCAGTCCTCTCTCCTCGAACTTACCTTTCCCCCCTTTGCCCTCGCTACTCCTGCTTCCCCTCCCTCCCTCCCTCCGTCCTTCCCGTCTCTCTCCCTTCGCTTCTTCTGCCTCCCCGTGCTGCCTGTCTCTTCCCCCGTCCGTCCTCCTCCGCCATTTTCCTCCCTCTCCGTGGGGGCTGGAGGGCGGCGGGAGGGGCAGGAGGAGGGGGAGCGGGGGGAGGAGGAGGAGGAGGAGTTGAAAAGGCCGATCCTCCATCCTTCCTCGGAGTCCTGCTGCCCGCGCTACGGGTGCTTCTTTTCGCTTACTCCGTTGTGTTATTCTTGTCTTGCTCCTACCTCCGCCCATCCTGCCCCTCCTGCTCCTGACCCCTTTCTACCTGTCCCCCGCAAGAGGGATGATGATGAAGAGGAGGAGGACGGACATGGGGAGGATGCAGGACGATTTGTTTGGCACCGCTCCCGCGTTGGCTTCGACTGCGCAAGGCTACGCCCGAAAATCGAGCAGAGGTGAAACATGGCGGGACGCAGCCTGCAGGCTAAGCAGCGGCACAAGAGGAGGAAGAGGCGGGGGGGGAGAGGGGAGGGGAAGGAAACCCGTCAAACGACCTGCAACTCTATAATTTGTGGTGTTGGCTCGGAGTGCACTTTTGGGATTTCAGTTGTATCCCGTAAAACGGCCCCGGCTACGGCCGATTGAATGGCGATTCTGGACAAGCCCCACCACCGATGTTAGAGGCTGAGGGTGGCGCCGCGGCGAATCCAACCATGCAAGATTCGGGAGCGTTCACGGGCAAGTTCCGGAGCAAGTTGGACGCACTAGGTCCCCCAACTTCCGAATACTTTTCCTCCCAAGCGCAGCAAAGATCCCAAACCACTGTCCAACGCTTGATGATAATCGTTATTATTTGTTGTGTTCAGCTTGTGCAAGTAATCGAACCCCCCCCAAGATGACTTGTCCCAGATCACGGTTGCCCTGTTTTCGTTCAAGGGGCTGACGATTGTAACATCGCGAAACAGCGGGAGTCCACGATGTAAATCCAGACCGGGCGCCACCATGTCCAGTCGTCGTAAACCATGTGGGTGTACGGGGACATTGGCACGAGCCAGTCGACGTTCTATGTTTCTGTCGGGGACGCCCCCTGCTTTTTGGAAGATTTGCCCCCAGGCAACTATCATCTCTTTATGCCGAGAGGACAATCTGCTGTTGGCTCCGTCCGCGAGCCGCGCATGCCCGTGCGAATCAGGTCCATGAAAACAACAGGCGACACCCAGACGCCGACGCACAGCGCACTTGAACAGGTCGTTCGCAATGCATAACCCATTTGTGGCAGGACAGACCAAGAGCCACATCGACGCTAATTCCAGTGGCACAGTTGCATGGGTGTTCCATCAATGTTTGACCTCGCCCAGGAATGCCCCGTTAGGCTCGGCACCTGGTGGCCGTGCGCCCATGGCCAAGTCCTCCCAAGTTGGGTATTATTGGAACGCCTTCGATAATCTTGGGTCGTCTTGGATCCTCCTGGGTGGTCTTGGACGGTATCGGGTTGTCTTGGATAGCCGTGGTTCGTTCTCGATGGTATAGGATAAATTTGGATTGCCTTGGACTGTTTAAGACAATTTCACATTGTCTTGGGTAGCTTGGGGTGGTCTTAAGGCCTTGCGTAGACTTGGACATTCTCGGACAGTTTCGGATCGTCTTGGGTGGCTTTGGGTACTGTTGAAGAACCTTCGGTTGTCTTCGAAAGCCGGGCTTGGTCTGGAACAGGGGAGGGGATGGGGGAGGGGGGGGGGGCCTCAATGACGCAGGCATCATTTGCCCCGCTTACAGAAACCCCTGAAGCAGTTTACTGAATGAACGACGGAGGCAAAAC